GAGAATCCATGATGTTTTCCAGACTTAAGGTACGATGATCCAACATCATATAGGCTTCTGTTGGCTCCCTTTGCTCTGCTCGTTCCGTATAGGGAGCATAATAGCTGGCTTGTATGTAAATAAGAGCCCGGCTCTCTCGGCTGCGGCGCTGACTTCAGACGGGAATAGGCATGAATCAATGAACACTGAGTTCAGTGCGAATCCTCGGGAGCTGGACGGGGTCCAGGATGACTGCAGCACTGGTTGAGAAGAATTTGGGCTGGAGAAAAGGGAAGGCCAATGTTTCAGTCTTCCAGAGTCTCGGCGTTTTTACTATGTCAGGAAGTGAGGTCAGGCACAGCCGCTGTGTACTGTAATTGTTTTCTGGAAGGCTAGTCATTAAGATTTGCTGTTTTTCTTAGAAGCCTTTGTAGTGTGAGACTGTCAGTGGAAAATATTGCCTTTTTTTTTAATATGGTTAACATGATTAACCATATTACATTAGCACAGTGTTGAATTGCTCAGGAACACTTCTCAGGGAACGTTTTTAAGAAATGAGATGGTTTTATTTGATATATATTTAATGCTGTGAAATGACAAAATATTTCAGCTTCTTAGAACTGTCTTGAACAAATAATCTTTGAAAGCAGTAGCTCTAGCTATTTCCAGTGTAGATTTCTGTTAACTTAGAAACGCGATACACACTATTACTTCTTTCAGCTTTGCTAAACCAGTTTTCTTTTGAGGTGGTTAGTCCCAATTCTTTTTTTTTTTTTAATGGCTGTCATGCGATATGGGCTGAATTTATCCTTCAGCTCAAACAAGGTTTGGGAATGACCTTTAGCTGATGTCTAGTAGAAACCACTGTAAAGAAATTAATCGGGCCAGAAGTACCCTTGCAAAATGTAACCTTTCTAAAAATTAATCTATTTAATTCCATTCTGACTCAAAAATCTCCAGTGCGTGGTGACAAAGCTCTGTAAGATGTCTCTGTAAATTCTGCTACTGATTCATATATAATGATTCATGGAGCAATGGCCTTAAGCTGAAGGAGGGGAGATTGAGATTAGATAATGAGGCAGAAATTCTGCCCTGGGAGGGTGGTGAGGCCCTGGCACAGGTTGCCCAGAGAAGCTGTGGCTGCCCCTGGCTCCCTGGCAGTGGTCAAGGCCAGGTTGGATGGGGCTTTGGGCAACCTGGGCTAGTGGAGGGTGTCCCTGCCCATGGCAGGGGGGTGGAACTGGATGGGCTGGGAGGTGCCTTCCAACCCAAACCATTCTATGGTTCTGTGATTCACTAATTCTCAGTATATTCCTTTGCAATCCTGGAAACTACAAAATTTGCCTATTCTTTAATGCTTACAGATGGGATTTTTCTTGTTTATTTTCAGTCTAGAATTTAAAACTTTTGTGTATTAGCTCATCTTTAATATCAACGCAGCCTGTGAGTTCTTAGTGCAAACACTTTTTTTTTTACCCTGACCAGTTGGATAGTTAGTAGTGATGATAAATTTAAACCACGTAGCTACCAGGAACAGACCCTGGAAAATAGCGATCTGAGCCTCTCTTAACAAGCACGTGGTAGAACAAACTACCTTTAGGGTTCCCAAGAAGCTTTTTGATGCAGTTCTGCCTATAGGTAGGTTTTCCTTTTTGGGCCATGTACAACTCGGCTTGGCTAGGCAAATCCAGCTGGTAACGTGGTTTGGGGTAAAACCGAGGGTTCGGAAGGTGCCCAGCATCAGTGACAGTGTTTGAGGGAACCTGTGAGACTTGGCAGGACTGTGACTGGGAGTTGTGGGTGGAGGTGGGTTTGGGATGCTGGAATCTCCTCTCGGCCCACGCAGTGGTTGCCCTCCACCTTTTCTTCAGACGCCGGTGCCTTGGTCCTTTGCAGCCGTGCTGCCTGGCTTATCCTGCCGCTGCCTTCGGTGGGAGAGTCGTGGGGCTGAGCCGGGGGACGGCAGGGCTGGGTTCCTCGCTCCTGGGCTGACTAGCAGTAGGAGGGTGTGGGCAATGGCTTTTTGGGATGGATCTCTATTTCTTTGTTTTGTTTTTTCAGGAAATTGTGCTGAGTATGTAATAACTTTTCAGGAATTCTCTTATTTACCCAAATACTACCTACTTCCTTGAATGAAATGGAGACTTTTGGGAGGCGAACCCATCGATAGCGCGTTCAGTGCGAGAGCTTTATTTCCCTTGGAAAGTTTACCTGTTACACCGGGAAGAGCTTGAGCCCCATGTTCATTTACAAGCAGAGGTGCTATCTTTGAGACCAGTGGCATCTTTTGCTGCTCTCTCACCAGTATTTCCACAGAATGAAGCTGTGCTCTAAACCCCCAAAAAAGTGGATTTTGCAAATCTATCAGCATTGCAGTGAGATGTTCCTCTTTGTCGTTAGTGTTCTGCCACTTGCAGCCATCTGAGCCCAGCTGTACAGTAAAATGTTAATGTTCTGAGTCAGGTGAAACTGCCCCAGAGTTATTAAAATCGTTTCACTTATGCGAGTGCTTCTATTCTCTCTGACCATATGGACGTTCCTACGAAGACATGAAATTGTGTTTGCTGTTTTTGGAGCTTGTCATTAACTGTATAAAACATTTGTTTCCTAATGCTCCAAGTATTAAGTTCTTCCTCTGAAAAATGTGAAGTTACAGCACTCAGCAAGTAGAACATGTGGGGGGGGTGTAAATGTAAATACTACCTGTGTCATTAGGCAGTAGATTAAGGATTCTAAAAACCACGTGGATGTTGATGCTCTGCTCTACAATTTGTACTAACTAGACTGTGCTGGTCGCTAATGTAGACCAAGCCTCAGAGAATTAAATTCAACCGGCATAGGAGACTAGGATAGAAACTTTGAACGTTTATTAAAAATTGCAGGTGGTATTGGGACTTGTTTCAGAACATGTTTTTCTACAGCTGGTTGTTTTGGTTGAACATTTGAATGCAGATGTAGTTGCTGTTTGGTAAAGGGTTTTCCCCTTCATGTTAAGTGCTAATTTCTGTCATCTTTGAGGTTCTTAGATGAAAGAAATTGAGACTATGCGCATATGTAAAATAAAGTATTTTTAATCTGCCTGTGTATACTGAATTCCTATTATGGCTCTTAAGACTTAAATCTAACCTCTAAAAATGGGAAGGGTGTAGTGGAATAAACTTCTGCCTCAATTTTAACATACTGACTGGCGATGTTACCATGCAGCTATTTTTAAGTGGAATAGTTAGATACAATCAGATGAGTTTGTTTCCTTGGCAGAGGTAGTTCAGAATCTGACCAATAGCATGGAGGATTGTTTAATTCAGGAAATAAATAACATGCTAAGGTAGTTAAGTATATTTAGGACAAACCTGATACAAATTTAATCTTTAAGGTCATGCGCACCTGTGTGGTCATATTTGGCCTCTTAATATTGTTACTGGAGCAGGCCTGGAAAACAGTTGGTATGCAGAATGAGCTGGTTTCTTTGTTATGCTGCGTTTTGTGGCTGTGTGATTTTAGCGGTTATTTCGAGATGCTTTTGCAAACAAGAAAGAATGTGGTTTTAACCAATGAATGCTCCCAGCCTCTTTACCTTGTAGTGGTAATACAGGAGAAATCTGTGTAATCTCAACTGAATCTGAACAAAATGAGTTAACACCAGGTGAAATGATAACAGACTATAATAGTTCTCCTACTGTTGCTAATCTGCTGACGATTCAGTCCTGAAAGTACAGAATTAATCAGGCGTTTTCCTTCCCCCCCCTCCCCCCCGTCATTTCCATACCAGTTACAGAGAACTGAACAAGGATTTGGCAGTTGTGTGTAGACTGGCTTGGTTCATGCACACATTGCAGGGGGGAATGTTTTTTGTTTTGATTTTGGTTTTTATTTTTAATGAATTGGACTATCCTAACCGTGTTTTGTCTTCTGTATGGGTTGATAGGAGGTAATGGGAAGGGAGAAGGAAATGTCAGCATTTCCTGTATCCTGTTATCTTGTGCTTTTTATGAATGCTGAATTAACTATACACTGAAAATTCACTAACATTTGGATTGTATTTTGACTTATTACAATTACAGATTATTCACTAACAGCCCACAACTGTGCAGCACTTTTCCACATGCCGTTCTCCACAGTACTTGGTTAAAGACTTTTGTACAAAGTACTGTCCTCTCTTGTGTGGCCTTAAGCCACTTGTTTTCACTGTGTCAGACTTCTGTATTGATGACATGTTGCAACATTGGAAAAGTTGCACGGTTTGGGAGGTTTTTTGATCATCACAGGGACTGAAACGTACATGTAGTATGTGAAATATTTGGCCTAAAACTTGGGTTCTGGAGTACAAGCAATTTAGAAATTGTAACTACAAATTTACGAATAAAGTGCTGCCTAAGTGTAGAAGTGCTGCTGCGTAATGGCTTCATTTATGTACCAATGTCATTACTCGTAGCATGTCAAGTTGAATATGCATGATACATATTTAAAGAGTGTATTTTTGGAAGAAGGATAGGTATTGCTTAAATGCAGTACTTAAAAATGAAAAGTAGGGTAATATATCGGACTACTTGGGTGTACTCCATTGTGAAGAACCCGGATATATGGCATGGGATCCCCTCCATGCTTTTAAGGCTGTCAGTTTGCACAAGTTTTTAAATGTGCAGTGAAGCTAAAAGTGGATGTTTCATAGTAACTTGTGCCTCCAGTTAGCGACAGTTTATTTGAAAATCTCTGGGGGAGAGTTGTGGAGTGTTGAAGTCTGGTAATATTTTGCTATTGAGTTTTCAAAAGTTCTTGAATTGCTGTCATTGAAGGATTCAATTAATATCATAGTGTAAGTGTTCGTTCTGTGGAGAAGGGAAAAAAAAAACCCAATATCCTGAAGGCACTGCTGTATTTTTCTTCTGAAACATTGGTACCAAGACTGGCAAACAAAGTAGAGAATTGTTTGAGGAAGGGGAGAGACATATCTAATATCAACACTCTCTTTTTGTTTCAGCGGGCGGTTCATGTGAGCGGTTGTCAATGAATGGTTTTCAGACATGATGGCCGACCAGCCGCCTCCACTAGAAGCTACGCCAATTTTGAACGAAGTACCGCTTCTACCTCATATGGTTAATGGGGACAGCATACAACAGGTAAGGAAATCCAGTGCACCTTCATACAAGTCATGTAATACTGGGCCGGCGGTGGTAGTAGGGAGGTTGGCATTTCTGGTTTGCAAAGTTAGAAAAGCATGTGGTCCTCAGCACTGATATCATGAGTAAAGTAGAAGTGCAAATATAGAGAGGAAGAAAATCATTCAACATTAATATAGCGGCAGTATGGAAAGATTGCAGATTAATAGGAATGTTTGTTATACGCATGTAAGTGCTTTAATTAAACTACATAATCAAAGACTAAAAGGAAAAATATAATATATGGATTTAATAAACTACTAAGGTTTTGAAAGCTTTTCTTAAACCTCATGTAAAATAATCAATGAAGATTAGCAAGTGGTTGCAGTGCTCTAAACCAAGAAGTCTGTTGCAGGGAAACGAGAGGAAAGACCTTGGCTTGCTGATACCAAGTATCTTCATTAATAATTACAGTGCAGTGGTGAAACCTGAGTATGTTTAGTTGAAACGTTAGAATTTTATTGGACACAGCCCTTCAGAAGTACCTAGTATGATTAGAAATACAGCCAAAAGTGAAAGCAAAACAAATTGAAACACAAGGTTGTATAAATTGTTAGTAAACTTGAAGTGAATTTACTGTTTGGCAGCATAAGCCGAGTGCCTTGTACTGCAAATGCTGAGATACCTTCCCATCATTTGGAGGTAGACTTTCAGTGCACTCAGAAATGTTACAGGCACCGCGATATTTTAACACTGGATCTTAATTTAAGAAGCATCTTCCCCCTGCCCTAGCAGCTACAAACATGACAGATCCTCGTAGGAGAGAAAAAGTTGGTTGGTTTCCAGTAGCTAAGTGGCTGTTTGTGGGCTGGTCGCAGTTGGACAGGGTGCTGGATAATCTCATCTGGGCTCCCGTTCCCACAAAAGTGAGAGACCATCTGGTCCAATAAGTCCCTTCCAATGTGAGCTTTTCTAGGATAACAAAACATAAATTTGAAGGCTTTATGTGCTTGGAGTTTTGTTGACGCAAGGGATGAAACTGCCCATTGCTTTGATCTGATCAGTATATAACTTCAAGGGTCTGACGCTAATTGAAATCAGAATTAAGGGGTTAATCCAGAAGGGAAAGTTGCGTAAAAGTTTCTGGAGGATAACTGTCGTGTGAAGGGTAACAGTGAAGACCTTGGCATGCTTGAATGTACAGTGGATAAACAGGGTACAACAAAATAATCATGAATTGTTGAGGGTCTGATAGACCATAAATGCTGGGAAGTTTTAAAGGAGATACTGTTACTTTGTAATGGTTACAGATGGGGAAGGAGGAGAGGTCTGCGTTGCTTCAGTTGTAGTATACTTGGAAATACAGGCTTTATTAAGAAAAGTGTACTCTGCTTTTTTTCCTCAGGCTCTGGAGATAAAGGTACAATGACTGTGTTTTGAAATAAGTAAAGCTGTAGAGCCTCTAAGCTAGTTCTGAAGTTCTGGCATTAGCAATGTGATATTTTAGACACTGACCAGCTGTGAGGTTATTCAGTAGGTTGTGTTTCATGTTACACAAGGGAAAGCAATCAAGTAGATCTAATTAGACACCATCACCATAGCTGTATTTGTGTAGCATGTCTTGGTATAGATCCGTGTGTAGAATACAGGGGTGTAGTGAATGACCCAAAAGAAGGTGATGGGTGTTGAAATTTTTGGCACCTAATGGAGACTGTTTGCAATCAGGTGAGGTAAAAAAAAAAAAAAAAAAGAGTTGTATCTTGGAGATGCATGGGAAAATGGCATCTGAAGAGTAGACTTAAAGACTCATAGTCTCCAAGACTTATAATTGAATTATATTGGAAATAACAAATAAGTCTGTGTAGTGAACAATCTTCATGAGGCCGAGAATGTGATTTCATGTTAATATGCCATCATTTCTCATTCTAACATGTCTGTATGTAAGCAACCGGCTCCTTTTGCCATCCTTCAGTTGCCTAATAAATACACTTGCTGCTCTTGTTTGTGGCACTTTTCTCTAGAGAGGCTTCTGAGCCACAGGCTCACATTTGCAAGTTTGCTTTTAAATAGAGTACTAACTTAGAACCTTTATTAACACGGATGATTTTTAATTATTTTGCTGCCAGTGCCATGGAGGATAGGCTAATTATAGACTATTGTAGATTGGCTTTGTTTTCAGAAATAAAGCTTCACCTGTTTGGCCAATCACTTCAAACAGCCAGATGCAGCACCCAGTTTCATTTCACATAAAGTGAACAAGTTGGAATTTTTCTGGAAGGGTTTCTTGTTCTGAAAAAAACTCTAGCAATGGAAAGTGTGTGAATAAGGGATAAAAGCAGAGTGCTGACCAGTGCTTTGAAATAGCTTTCAAACTGTGGATCCCGCTAGTGCTGAAATGGTTACATGGGCCACCCGAAGGCACTGCCATTCCTGGGACTCCTAGCACTAGGCTGTCATCTGACTCCTTAGAAACACTCAAGCTTCCTGGAAATTTTCCTTAGTGGAAGGTAGATGGAACTGCATTTGCTTCATTAATTATAGTGAGTCATTCCTCCAAGACATTGCCCCGTGCATTCCTGAAATTCCAGTCTCTGAACTGCTCTACAGCCCTGTGATTACACCGCTTACTTACAGTCCTTTTTGCTGAGTTCAGTCAATAGTTTCCTGAACTGTTCAGTTAATTGAAACCTCTTGGGAAGATGTGACACGCTTAGAGGCTCTGCATTTCTGAGAGGATCCCTTTTCCTGTGTCTGAGTTTTCTTGCCCCCAAAAATGAGCCTTGCTGTGAGGTTTCCTATCTGCCAGTGGAGTCCTGACCCTGTGAGTGTCTATCCAGCAGGATGGACCCCTTTTCAGGATTTTTTGGCATTTTACTTCTGTCCAGAAGCAACTCATCTACCTAAAGTAAAATTCTCCTGTACTGTGAACTCGCTGGAGCAGGGTCTGTGTTCATGTCTGCTTCTGCATCCCCTTTTAAAAACTAAAAGATCAATATAGCAATACGCAGAAGCTGTAAAATCAGCGTTAAACAGCGTTTCTCAGTCTGCTCCTTAAAGTCTTGCTTTACACGCAGCAGTTTCAATGCAACAGTTCTGTGTAAACCTTAATCTCTTTCCTGTGCAGAAGTTGTACTCTCGAATAGAGGGAGAGAGAAGCAGGAGACGTAAGCTATAACTTCAGGAAACGTGGGTGTGTTTGCACTTATTCTCTTCTACGTTAGCTGGACAAATGTGCTTTGGTTAATGCCAGTATAAGCTACTTGGCAAACTCTTTGGAAAAAGAGTCGTCAGTGGAATTGCTCAAAATGAAAAGGTTGAATGAGGGACCACAAGACCATTTCAAGTCTTGTTCTTTTCAGCGATCTTTTTATTAATGACCAATGTAATAGAATTGAAGTGTACTTAATAAGTCTGCAGCTGATACGAAGTGGGAGGAACTACAAGCATCTTGGAAGCCTGAAATGATTTTGATTACTAGAAAGATAACCTAGAAAATTAGCAGCAAGTACAAAGTGCTGTGTTTAGGTAAGTCAGCTTATCATAAGGAATGACTGGTTTATAGTGGCCCTTTAGAAAAAGGTCTGCTAAGGGAAGGATAAAGGCTGCGAGTAGAAGTCACCAGTGTGGTACCATTTCCAAAAAACAGCGGATACAAATTGCAGAAGGTTTTATATACAGGGCATGGCATCTAAATCACAGGAAACGATCTTTTCTATTATTGGTGCTTTATTCTTTATTTCGTTGGTGGTTAAGACATGGAGTACTGGGTTCAGGGAAGCAAGGAATGTTGAAGTTAGATGGTAAAATCTAATGATGAGAATAGAGGAACTGTGGTGCGGATGCCTGGGGAGTTTACGGAGCTCCATCACCAGAGATGAAGCAGCACAAAATCATTTTACTACGAATTAGACCTGTGCCTATGGAATATAGTAGAATCTCACTGCAAAATTCTTGTTGTAATGTCATGTTACAATAAGACTGATGCACAGCTGCCAGAACTTTACAATAAGACTGAAGCGTGTGCTGTGAATGGGGTGGAATGAGGTGATGGTTTGTGTCACCCAGCACAAGGGATGTAAACGGCCTGAGGAAAAATTCTGGCAGATGTCCACATTGATTTGTGTGATAGTGAAGGTGATCGTGTCCAAACTGACCTGCGGAACCTCACTGTTAGTTGTATTTCTTTAGCTACAGAATTACACAAATGTGAGAAAATACACTTGATCATTATTTATCACCTCTTCTACCCTCCTTCCACCCCCAAAGGACCGCATACTTTAAGTTACTTGATAGCATTGGAGAATATATTGTCAAAATATGTACCAGCACGCTTTCGATGAAAAATACAGCTGAGTTTTGGGAAAAGCATCTCTTTTCTTTGTTTTTCCTTTTCTTTTTCTGCGTGTGTGTGTATATTCCTGATTTTGCCAATTTAGCCCTGAAACTGAAATAATCTCATAGGCAAAGCTTAGAAAGCAAGGTGAATCTTAGGTAACTTTTTGCTTCAGTAAAAGAAGAAAAAGCAGTGTGAAAATCCTGAAAATAAGTTAGTTAATTATTTCAAGTGTATCAAGGGAAGCACTTCTGGCAGTAATCAAAGAAAAATACTGATTATGCAAAATCAATGATTTTATGTCAAAGTATGAGGAAATTTCATTCTACCTGTCAGTTTCTCAACTTGCTTTTTAACTCTGGCATGTTGCCAAAGGTGTTTTGTTTTAATCTAACACGTAGGTATAAAGAAGAGGTGGGGTTTTTCCCCAGGTAATTTCTAAAATTTTAAAATAACAAAACTCCTCTTTTGTATTTTGTTTTCTACAGGTTATTCTTGTGCAGGTAAACCCAGGTGAAACATTTACAATTACAACTGAAGATGGACACATTCAGTGTATTCAAGGTAAAGGAAAAGCTGAAGTCCTGAATCCAATTATTTTCTTTCTGCAAATATCACAGAATTACTACCAGCATTTGCTTCTGTAATGTCAAATGTGGTTTTGTGTGTTCTGCAGTGTAATAAATGAGATTTTTCAGTTTGGACTTAAAGCACAAATAAGACAGCACTGGGAAACTGCCAAGATTCCCTGCATCTCTGCAGACTTTGCTGCTAATTTATAAAAGGCTAGCATCTCAACTGTTTCTGCAACGATCCTTGAACAACTGTCTTCTCTGAAAGTCAACACATGAATTTACTTGGGATTTAGTCCACGCTAATCTAAACAGCTTGACTAGGCGCTGTGTGACCTCGCTTTGCTGTAAGGTGGTGGCATTAGCAGCCTGCTGATAGCGAGGGGAGCACTGCTGCCCTCCGCGTGTGGCTACACACGACTTTTTACCTTTGGGGTAAGTGACGCAACTGCAAGTCTGAGTAGGGTCAAAATATCTCCTGTAAGTCAAGTTGAATTTATCAGTACTTCCATTTTTGTAATATTTTTCACCATTTCAAATTATATTATATAAAATGTGTCCATTCTGTTTTCATCAAATCCCAGACAAGAAGACTTTCAGCTTAAACTGGAAAAAAAAAATCCTATTTAAAAATAATAATAATTTGGTAGACCAGCTATCAGCATTACTATAGTGTGAATGTTGTTGCTACAGCCTTTTAACTCTCACAGAATAAGAACTAAAATTTATATAGGCTAATTTTTGTACAATTAAAGAAACACAGTTGGCTGTATAAGCATCGTGGTTGGGATAAATCTAATCTGTGCTTTTTGTTGAATAAATGTACAGTCATACTGCAATAAGCAATATTATCTAAAATTCTGGATGCTTCCTGAAAGTTAAGTCATTCTTAATGTGTCTTTTGAATGTGAAAATGAGTTATCAATCAGTGACATGAATTGCATTATTTTTCTTGATGGAAACTTGGTACAGTCGCTTTATTTTTTTTTTTTAACTCGCAGTTCTGATTATTTAAGTTTCTCTCCTAACTGACTTTTTAATAGGGTAGTTTAAGCCTTACTTCTAAATCTGCTTGTCTAAAACTAGTTCCATAAATACAGAGTTGGATGCAGTTGCTGGCTTTGCAGGCACCAAAGTGAGCCACCACCTTTGGAAAAAAAGGTGTCTCGAGTTTGTAAAAGCCTCGTTTGTTAAAAAGTGGCACCTTGTTACTTCTTAGGTCCAGCACACGTTCCGATGATGTCACCAAATGGTTCTATGCCGCCTATATTTGTGCCTCCCGGTTATGTATCTCAGGTAAACTTTAATTTATTCTTGTATTTCATTATGTTTGTGTGTGTGGCTTTTAACAGTAAGGCTATTGATTATTTTATCTAGAACAGCTGTTAAAAGCATTTCTCATTTTTTTCCATTGAACTTATCAACTGTTTAACTTTATTGTAGAAAACAATACCCTCTGTTCACTTAGTAAAATTTGAACTTGTTTTCAGGGGGTTTTTAATACTACTAGTAGGCAGTAGAAGATTACTTTTAGTAAGATAGCAGATGGCTCTGAACTGACTGCCTGTGGAGCTCCATTAACAGGATCCACATCGTGATTTTGCTTCAGTCCCGTTTTCAAGGTGACAGTAGGTGCCTGGGTCGTCCGAGCAGTCCCAGTTGGCTGCAGCCTGCTTGGTGGCAGAGCCCCGATGAGAACAGACGGTGCTTAGCTTTTTTTTTTTTTCTGGACTGCATATGATATTTCTCTTTTATATCCCCTCTTAATTCAAATTTTTCTATTCTAACGTAACTCTATTTATCAAAATTTTCAATGCCCCTTTCTTAACCAGCTCTGATCTCCTTAATGTTCAGCAAAACACTCTACTGTTACAGCAGAAGTGCGAAGAGGAGTGTTAATGCTAGTGACATGTGCCTAAGAAATGAGCAGGGCTCTGGGCTTCTCTCCTAGCTTTACTTTTCCATTCTCACTGATTTTCCACTCCTCTGTTGTTAAGTCATAGCAGATCAGACCCGCGTGTGGTATTTGAACTGTTATCACAGATATTTGAAGTTGCCAGTTTGATTTACTTTTAAATTAATGCATTTTTAAAGGGAAGTAATTAAAACCAAATGTTTAAATGGGATAGGCTAGCTTTCTCATTTTCTAGTGATGTTCAAAATTAGGAGTTTTCTGAGTAGGCTTGAAAACCCTGTAACTGTCTTTGAGTTCCCCGGGCAGTTATCTTTTTGCATACAGCTGCCTCTGCAGTTTGTGCTTCTGCTATTCTAAGCAGGTACTTTCATGCAGACCCTGAAGAAAGATCCCCCGGATAATTTATGCATCAGTATGAAACTGAGTCTTCATTGCGAACAGTATGCAGAGCACTGGCAAACACTGAGGTGTACAGATTGAAAAATCCATTTGTTCTGTGTTTGCCATCACATAAAACTGGGAGGTTTGGTTTGGTTTTGTTATCCCTTGGTCATTAGGACTGGGATAGACAAGTTTGAAACCAAGTTTAAATCAGAGCTTGAGTTCCTTATACTGATCTTGTCAACAGATGAGACTTTAACTTTCTATTGCCAAAACTGTCTGGCAGAGCCCAGAGATAAGTTAGGTTTCTTTCTGCTGAAGTGGAATGAAGCGATTCAGTAGTGGATAATGGGGCCATAGCAACTTCAGACTGTAAAATCACGTAGAATTCTACTTTTATTAATATCTCCCTTCTACCTGCAACTGTGCCGTATGTTCTTGCTTAATATGTATATAAATAGAGTTACCATAGCCATCAACGTTTGCTATGAGTTTTGACTTGAATATGCTATAGCGTGTGTTATAGTGTGATGCAATGCAGTGCAGTTCAAGTGGTGTTTTTAGTTCCGTTGATGAACCAAAAAGCCCCCCACGTTGTTTCTAGAACAAAGTGTATTCAGTGTAAGCTCAATCTTAAGTGACTTCTCCTTGTAAATTTTTTTTTTTCTTCCATTTAAAGTCTGTTAAGAATTGCTAATGATAGAGCTGACTTTGAGGCCATCTCACAGCTGAACTTTTTCATAGCGGTTTGTGAGTGGACGCATTCTATTTCCCTTCAGAGGAATAATTTCTCGTTATTTGCTCTATCTTTTGCTGAGGAGCTTTTCAGAATGTACTTTTGGCGTAAGCAGTATTTCAACATCCGCAATGCCGCCCTGGCCAACTAGGAAATGCTGCAGTGATTTCTTATAGCCAAACTAAACATGTGTTAAGAGAGGATCTTGAAGGACCTAACAGGATAAAACATAGGGCCTGCTTTGGTGCAAGTGCTCTCTTTAGATGCCTGAAAATATAAATTGTGTATATTTTTAGTAACAGAGGGCTACGTCAAGAAGTTGAAATCTTCTAGGAGCAGGTTTTATTTTGTATTATTTACAATGTCATTAAAAAAATACACATTTTTTTTGCATCTCAGTTTTGTTTGCCAGCCTGCAGCTGCAACACACTCCCCGCTTGCATCCACGTGCACTATTTTCTGCTGACTACATGATATATCTCTCTTAATGCTAAAGCACTGTAAGGCCCTGCCTGATGCATTTGTGATCTGCATTTTCAAATGCAACTCGGAGGAGATGACTGATGGAAGATAAAGCTGCAGACTGATTTTTAACCAATCTAAGAAAAATGCCTGGCTTTCCTACTGAGGCTTGATTAATTTTGAAGTGTGAGGTTGCCTTTAATATTGAACACTTTTCTATCATTGATTTTTTTTTTCCAGTTAGATTGCTCATACCTGTTTAATTTTTTGTGTGAGGGAGAAAACAATTGATTTGTTGTCTGCTTTTAAATAGGATTTAATACAATCTAGTTTGCTTCTGACTCGGACTTCACATTAGGTACGGTCTGAATTTAATGCCAGTGGACTTCTGTATTGTGGCAGAAGAAACAAAGTGGAATGTGAGCAGGTGATTTCTCTGATGGTCAGTCAGCTCAGAAGCCTTTGACCCTGTCAGAACCGTAGGTGCTGAAAACTTAATCCCCCAGATAAGGAAAATGGACTGTAACCGCAGAGTGACAACGCATCGGTGTAGATGTCCTCTGCCTGAACCCTGCTTGGAGAAGGGACCCTGTAAACCTCTGCCTCTGCTCCAGGTGGTTCCAGGATGAGACCAAACTGGGCATTGTTTTACTTCAGTGTCATCATTGTTTAATACCTCTTTTTGTGAATTCTACTTCAGCGTTATTTCCTGACCTTGTCTTCTAAAACCTGTGATCTGTCCAAAGTCTCTTCTCAGTCTTAAGATTTAGAGAAGCATTATTGTATAACACCTTAATGTATTTTAAATTTACTGGAGGAAAAGCAATACATTGAGATAGTAATGTATTTCATGTTGGCAGAATTAGACTCTGGAAGGAGCCTAAATATTGCCGGTTTAGGAGACGTGCTTAGAAGTGTACGTGTGCATACATATGCGTGCACTGTCTTAGCATCTTTTTATCCTAGAGTTCAGACACACAGAAAGGTTCCTCGTCTGAATTCTCTTAGCCTGTGGCAAACATGAAATGTTTTGACATTTGAGTTGGGTTGGATCATAGTACAGGACAGCAGAGCTGACTTGTAATACTCTGTACTTGCCATAGGCGAAGAGTGTGGATGCAGACGCGTACCACAACCCCGGTGACATGCAGTGACTTGTGGATATGAGTGCACTGTCAGTCGGGATGTGGTCTGAAGCAGTTCTAACTGTAATTACAAGTAGACTAGGAATTACAGCCTGATGAATTCACATGACTTGTTTAAAAGAATATACACATTATTCATAAATTATAGATTGCTTAAGCACTTTAGTTTGCGAGGTTCAGCTTCTTAAAACTGACTGCCCCAAACTCCAGTTTCTTCCAGTAACATATACTGGGTTTCCACCAGCATTCATATCCCTGACTGTCAGATTGTGGCTATAAACTTAATCATAGAGATTCTTTATTAAATGTACAATATTTACAAGGTTTTTGTACTGACATTTCGTTTCTTATGTTGCATGACAGGTGGTGGAAGAAAACGGAGTTCGTAAAGTGGTTGTATTGCCACACTCGGCTGAATTCCACCCTTCCATGCATCCTCCTCCTCCTCCTCCCCATGTGCCACATTACATGCATCATCACCATGCTTTGCTTCCCCACCCACCGCACCCAGTGTACCCTCCGGTTCCTGGGACGGGAGAGCTGCCACCGCAGTTCATTCACCAGCATCCACCGCCACACGTTTTTCAAGAACAAGGTGAGGGCGCAGGTGATGGTTAAATACACGAGAAGGCCTTTCCCTCGGTGCAGCTAGATCGAGGCAGCTCAGTTCTGTCGGTGGCTCTTTCAGACGTTTCTGTGATTTTTGGTGCTGGTTATTAGACTCCCTGAGCATTACGTGTGTTTATGGGGTATCTTAAAATACATGTGTGTGTAAGGTATCCTGGAGCCCGGTCTGAAGGCGCTCTGCGTGTGCACAGCATGGTTGTGTAAAGTTTAAATCTTCTCCTCTTCTGTTTTTAAGGATTTAATGCAAAAGCAGTAACTTAGAAGTGTTCTAATACTGTGTATCTTTTTCATGGATCCTTGCCGTTGTTGCTGTAAATGCCGCAATGATTGCTTCTACCTCTCTCTAAAACTGTGCTCTCCAAAACTGCAGCGTTTTGTCACAGCCTTGGCACGAAGATTTTTGAAAATGCATTTAATTTGATACATGAATGTATTTTTTTGGCTAGACAGAGTCCAAATATGACTGGAAAGAAAATAAAAGTAACATACATAAACCAAAACCAATAGTAATCCATGTTGGAGGGTGAAGTGTGAGTCCACTTTATATTTAAGAACTGAATGAAGGAGGACTGGGATCAGTGCTGAATTAAACCAGGCTGTAAGCCTTATTGTATAAACAAGCATTTAACACAGAAAGAAATTAGACTATGTAAGACCATTCACTGTCTCTGTCTTTCAAGCTTAATTTAGTAATTAAGCTATTTTGGCTCATGTCTAGGGTAAAATACTCAGTAGCGTCCAAGCTATGTTTTAAAAGTAAGTTTGGGTCCTAAATTTGCTTACACTTTTTTTGAAAATGTGATTGTATGGCTGTATCAGTGAAGAAAGGCAACTGTGAGGTGTAATCTTTCAGCAGCTAACAAAAGAGAAAGGCCTGAAGAATTACATTTTTAAAAAAAAAAGGGGGGGAGGAACTCCCAACCCTAAGCTCAGCAAGTTATCAAATAATATTTAAGAAAAAAAAAAAATCAACAATTTGGATATGGGTTAAATAGGAAAAAAGGACGTTTGCTTGCAGATATTTTGTATATCTTACCGTAGCATTTAACTAACATTGACAACGTTTCAAAACAAGAATTTTAACCCTCTTGGCGCATTCTTCTCCGACTACCTGACCTTTATGCTCCCACACTGATTTAAGCCCAATCCATAAACCCTTTATCAGGTGAGGTTCCTAAAGTCTAGTGACGCTCTGCCAGTCACAGCGCGATACGCGCGTTTTTCTTCCCTGTAGCCCAGAGACACCCGAGCATCAGCCGTGATCTCCTCAGGACTTCGCCCGTGCACCAAGCCGCAGATCGGTGAGCCGTGCAGCTCCACGCGTCTACAGACGAACAGAGCAAGCACCGTGAAGTTCCTTGGGTTTTCAAGTTCTGGTTTTACTGTAGTTGTTCTAACTCACAGAACGTTTCTCGGTGTCAAATAAATTGTACTGAATAATGAACTAAGTTCTTTCTTTGTAGAACCTCGTTCTCATGGAAGGACAAACTTCATTCAGCGAGATGAAAGGAGTCTCAAAATGCAAGAACACCTGAAGAAAAGACTAAAAGACAGACAAGCTAGTGGTCATACTAACAATAAACTTAACAGTCCTCCATCTTCACCGCATAAAGTTGTTAATTCTTCCAATGCAACAATTCAGAATGGAAATGGAAAGGGACAGCAAGGGGCAGGAGGACCGCTAAAGCAGAAGCAGATAGGAAAAACAAAGGGCAGTCCAGATGCAGAGATGGGAGGTAGGTTGCATTAAAAGGGTAAAAAAAAAAAATCTAGAGTCTTTTGTAACAGAAGGTGCTCTAAGTTCATTGCACAATAGTCTCTGAAAAAACTGAATTTGTAAATTTCTTTGGCTGTTCAGGATTAAAGAAAGCCTGAAATGCTTTTCGTTATGTTTGGATTTTTTTTCCTCTAGAAGTAATAGTCATGTCAAGTTTGTTCATTTGAGATTTATCAAATAAGATCTTCAGGAAGATTTGATTTTAAACCTTTTGTTTACTTCTGTACCTTTTCTGACCTGGGACCGATCAATATTCCAAGTGAGGATGGCCCACGAGTACTTAGATAAAAGACTTCTGGTGTCCTCAGACTTTATGGTACCTTTCAGGTTTCTTGAAAACTCCAAGAAATAGGAAGGTTTGAGCAGCTGTCTGTACAGGGTGCTGTCTGATCCGTTGCCATTTCAGTTCAGCGCATTATTTTGCTCGAATGAAAGTTTGGGGGTTTTAATAGCTTATGGCTATTTACTTGCATATACTAAAATATCTTGTGTACAATATCTTTGTCTCTGCTGTTGGTTCGAAACGGTGTTGCTGAAATGCAGTTTCTTACCGTGATTCTTTAAACGATTTGTGTGTCTTAGTGTTTTATGTGTTTGTGTCTTAATTTAAGTGGTCTTGTTGGGCTGCAAGGTCTAGTCCTTGTCTGTGTCACCATTGTATTTAACTCTCTGGTTAGAGAAATAAGAGAGAAATCTGACTTTGTATCTTGGGAAGTAAGTAGAGGTAGAAGCTTTTGTCCAACTTGTTTCAAGGACAAAAAATATACATGATTAAAGATTTGCTTAATACAAATGTTTTAGGATGGGGGGGGGGAGTTTTTATTTGCAGGCAGAATAATATCCTGAATTGTTCGACATGGACAATTGTAAAGATAGGATTCAGTTTACAGATGTAAACCTTTTGGTACCTGTAGGTATTTTTAGTGTGCAGTTTTGATCAGGCTCCTTCTGAATTATGCCTAGACCAAGTGTTTTGCAATAGAAATTCAAGAAAATCACATACAATGGAGAGATAAGATCTTATTGTCATTTTTTTTAACACCTTTCATTCTTAGAGCAATGTTTTTTGTGTTGTCAAAGAAAACCCATTTATGCTCAGATTAGCAAAATATACCCTTTGTGCAGGATGTACTCAAAGAGTTTTTGTAACACTGTTAGTTTTGGATTGTTCATGTTTCTACCCGTCAGGCAGCCAAAACAAACACGGGAAATGAACTTTGCACAATAAGTACTATTGTTAAACTCTTAATGAGGCGAACTCCATCTTGTGGTGGCATTTCTGTAACAGGCTGCTTTACTCTTGGGGTTTTTGGTAATCTGTTTTGTATTTGAAATTTCAGAATCGGACACAGAGTCCAAGAAATGTGATATTCACTTGAGCATTGGCAAGCCAGTCGTAAGTATTATCCTTAAAATACCATTATTTTTCTGTGCATATACTTTCTATAAAATAACGTGTCTTATTGATCTCTTTTTCTTTTTTCTTGATGGTTTATTTTTTTAATGGAGAAAATGTATTTTAGTTGTCAGAGTTTATAGCTGGGAAAGGGCAACCATGCTATGGAAACCCAGTATTCCTCAACTTTCTGAAACAGTCTGTCTGACTCAGTTTCCCAGTCTGTAAGCTGAGAGTGTATCCACTGTTGAAGTTGTCTAGCGTGTATGAGGGCTTTAGTACCTTGCAAACCAAGGACCTGCTAAACTTACAGAAGTCTGTCCACTATTGGAACCATCCTTCGTTCAGCATAGAGAATTTAAGAGTATTGGCAATAGAATTACTGAAACTGGATCATCTTTTTATGTTGTGTTTAGAAATTGGAGCAAATATCTGAGGTTTTAAAGACTTATCTAGGAAGTTGGAGTCTGTTGACGTTAATTTTAAAGTCTAAACACTAAAACCGCGCTGATATTTCTGATCTTGAGCGTGCTTAATCCAAAGAAGAGTTTCATTATCTGTACGCTAAGCATGGGTTGTATTCTTTTGCTCCAGCTTTCTAGCTATTCTTTGGTACGCTAGTATTTTTTCATTGCTGCTTCTGACATCTGTGTTAATGCCAACAGAGGGTCATGGTGACTTTGTCAGAGAAAATTTGGAGTGTGGGAATTAAGCAGCAAAAAAAACTTGGACCAGAAATTTTAGTCTTGAGCACTTAAACTCAGAGCCTCTTGCTATCGTATAGTTTAGTGGTTAAATATTAAGATCATGTGAGGGAGTTGTAACAGAGTTAGAAAGTTAGGCCATCTGACTCTGCGTGTATATAGATCTGGCGTCAGTGTTCAAGACTCCAACTCTGAACATTGCTCCAAATCAGTGATGCAAACGGTGCAGGTGAAATAAATGTTTTCTCTTCATACACTGAGACAATATAGTGTGTCTGTAAGTTTGGTTAGTGTTTGGAGGGAAATCCTGTAGTCTGATATTTTAGAAATGAAAAGAGGAAATAATTTAAATTCAAATAATAGCTCAATATTTCCACTACAAAGGTAAAGAATTCCTCCAGTGAGGAACTGCGTAGGCAAACTAGCAACACCATGTTATTGACTAATATACCTTTTATTACAGAAAGCAAACTTACTTGCATTATTTATGCTTTTAATAGGTTTCTGATATACAAGCAAGATCAGCCGTTCTGTCCTGGAATCTCCCAGTTAGTTCACAGAATGGAGAGAGCCATAGTCATAGTCCAGCAGCATTTACATTTGAAGTAGCAATATCCAACAGTGGTAAAAATGGAAAATTTAAATCTGTCTATGTGTAAGTTTAGTTTCTTCATTTAAGCACAATACCGATGTTTAAAACCATTAACCGATCAGCAATCTCTCTATCAGGAGCTGTTTGTTGACTTGCAGACCTACCTACTTCACATGAAATAAATTTTAAGTAATGTCACTAAAGAGTTACGTGGACAATGGAAAACTTGAAAATTAAATGTGCGCTACATGGTTTTGCTTTTCAATAAGCTTTTATCCTTTAAAGTATAAGGAAGAGCTGTAACTCATTATGGTTTTTCTTTCCTTTTCACAGTGGGGAAGAATTAACAATCACACTTCCTGATCTCAGACCAGCAACTGATTACCATGCCAGGTACGTTTCTGGGAATGAAATACCTAATTGTTGATGTGTTAATGACAAAATTATTGTGGCTGCGTGAAGAAGGTGTGATTGCAAACAACTTGAGGAATATTCTGCACAAAATATCATAGCTGTGGACACTACTGTTGCATTACTTCTAATTCCATAAAAATATCACCTCATTTTCTTCCCTACTATCTTCTCTGTCTTTTCTTGTTTCTCTGACATACAAACTTTGAGTTATTCTCTGTCAGTATGTTTTAGAACAACAAGGTTGGACTTGGTGAAAGAGATTGTTGTAGGCTGAAGGCAGCGGCAAATAAAATAATTTAGACTTTAACGTGGATTTGCAAGTCTGACTTGTGAGCTTGATTTGTAAAGTTGCTTCTCTAAACCGCAAGCTTCTGTAGCAGTGCAGGTAGGGAAGTGGAAACTGCCTGAAATGGGGTGAAGTTAGCTGCTGTGTTGCAAGGGAACAAGACGTGACGTTCAAGAACTGCCACGCAGAGTAAATAAGCATAACTGGAGAAGGTGTTTAACTGGTTGGGGAAAAGACAATCTGGTTCAACAGGCCAGGAGAACACGGTGATCCGGTGGTAGATGAGAGCGCCTCAGTTCTTGGGCAGAGCAGGACACAAGTTTTAAGACTGACTGAAGCAAGCTCCTGTTCTTAAACTGCACGAGAGTTCCAAGTGTGTTCCAAGCTCCGCTTGCACGGTGTGGTGTGTGTTTGGTTCATGGTGTTGCTTTCCATACAGGCCGGCTGTCTTTTACCTACAAGTCATTTGATAAGACAGACAGTACTTCTGAAACATTAGTCAAGCTGTTGCGCTTCAAGAACAACAAAGGGAGCACGACTTTCGCAGAGATTCGGTCCCGCTTGAACAATGACACTGACAGACACGGCTTTGTTGCCTGAACAGCTGGTTGAGCCCATTTTAGTATCCATACTCTTGCACAAGCGAGTGTTGTCCATATTTGAATCTCGGGGTCTTTCTAGCAAAAGGTTAATTTCAAGTCAGGTATTCTGTTACCATTTGGTAAGACTTGCTGTAGTTTTGGTCGTGCCTCCCGTGCGTATTTCATCACTGAAATATCCCCACTGTGATAGACAGCAATTGTTACTTAAATGCAGGATGCCAGATGAGCCTTCAGGATCAGTACGTGTGCCTGTGATCTCCATCACACCGCTGTCAGCGTGCCCATCTCCCTGAACATCAAACGGACAGTGGTGTTTCTTATGATGTGGGCATCAGCTACTAGAACCTGGAGTGGCATCATAAACTTGCTTTTTGTTACTTCTTCCTGAATGAAAAGGCATGGAATTGTTGTCTTTTAGGCCTGAAAGAAGAGGGATTGGGCACTTGTTTCCTTTAACATGAGCAGGCTGGTCTTGTTGCTGTAACCACTGCTTGTGATTAAATGCATTTCTAAATACACAACTCTGTCCTTAAATTTTCAGGTGCTAATGCAACAGCAACATAACAAATTGTCCTTTTTGTTCAGAGTTTCAGCAACCAGCAGTTCCATAAAAGAATCCATTTCGGAATTAGTGAGCTTCACTACAGAAAGTTGTGAGCCGGACTGTCCAGCCGCACCGAAGCTAATTAACAGAACCAAAAACAGCCTGAGCTTGCAGTGGAAGGTAAGCAGTCTGGCGTCACTTGCGTCCGGTGTATTTAAATCCACTTTGTCAGTAATTTAGTCTGTACTTCAGGTGTTGGCTTTTCAGTTGCTCAGCTAAGACCGATAACTGTGAAATTATGATTGTTTCTTCCTCTTTCTTTTGCTGCTTGCTTAGCTTCTTGCCCGTGGCTTTAGTGTGATAGAGTTGGTAGCAGGTCCTGCTATGAACTATTCCGTAGGAAAGTTCTCTTCTGAACCAGCAGCGTAGGACAGGATAGAGCATTTAGGTTTTTGCTTTGGGTTCCTGGATGATAAATAGATATGACTTAATGTTTATCTGTGATCGCTTGTTGGTGACTGTATTTTCTTGGCTTTTCATGTTTTTCATATGACTACGCTTATAGCTGGAAAATGGTTTATAGCTAATTGACTTTAGTTAAATTATTTGTATAAGCTGTACTCAAACTAAAGGATGTTCCCAATTCATACGTCATAACAAAGACAAACATTGCTTGTCTGAATGCTTACATTGCTCAGAGTTGGTGAACACATAGTGCAAGAACACAGGGGGAAAAAGCTATAAGAGTATCACTTGAACTTATGAGTAGTTTTATTTTATGAATAATGCATCTTCTAAACTATCAGAATTACTAGTAGTAGTATAGCAGGCTGGAGAACCTCAGGAGTGAGGAATTAAATGAGGTAAAATAGCTGCTAGCTTTTCCCCTCTCTAACTCACTTCACTGAATACGTGTGTCTGTGCCCGCAGTGGAGTTTCGATGATCACAAGTGTGTTTGTGGAAGAGGAGGGCTGTCTGTATGCCCACTGCAGGTTCCTTTCAGCTCTACGTTAACTGTTTTGCTTTAAAAGGAAGTTGTGATATATTATATTCAATTGTTCATGTGTTTTTAATGTGCAAAAACGTTTATAAAGTACAACCATTTGATCTTAACTTTTTTCATTGTTTCTTTATTTTCAGTCCTCAAATGACAATGGTTCCAAAATAACTAATTTTCTTTTAGAGTGGGATGAGGTAAGACCTTTTCTAGTGCAAAAAAAAAATCATAATGACATCTGTAGACCAATTATACTTAAAAATACTTTTTGCTTAGGTACATCAGCTATTTTCAGTGCAACTGTCCAGACAGTTTTAAAGGGACAAGGCAGTTAAAAAGCTTGAATAAAATGACTAGCATTGTATCAATTCAAAAGTGTAAAACTCCCTCGTTTGGCTCTTGTCGAGCGTCATTAATTCCTGTGCTTTGTTTAAATGGATGAGCGTTTGGCTTGTATCTTCAGTGGCTGTCACAAATATCGCTCAGCTTTTTGAACTTCTTACTGAAACGTGTCCCAAAGTGATTAAAAAAAAAGTCAAAAGTGTGTTTTGTTTCCAGCTGCAGTCATTTATCACCATTTTGTCAAATCTACAGTGCCAAAAACCCAACAGATACCTCAAAATACGGTTTTATTATCAAGAATGCTCAGGATTACTGTCAGGCATACTTGGTATGGCCATGATGATGTCAGCATTTTACATTCTTTAGACTTAATGATTTATTTTTAATTATTATTGAATCAGTGACATGAAATTTAGGAAAATTTAAAGTGAAGAAATTGAATTAGCAGGGAGCGTGCAGTCCCCATGCAAAAAGTGACTCTGGTTGTTCTCACTGTTTTAAAGGGGAAGAATGGAGCCTTCAAAGAGTGCTACTACGGGCATCTGAAGCAGTATAAACTTAGCAAACTCTCCCCTTCTACAAAATATTCGCTCAGATTAGCTGCTAAAAATGATATTGGAATGAGGTAATGAACACAATGTGTCCTCTCATCTATTTTTCTCGTCAACTACATCTGCTGCTGTTAATATTTTAAAAAAACCGCCAGCCCCACCGCCCCCGGTGCTGGTTGAAGCAGGAGTGACCTGGCTGTCGGTGAAGTGGAGCCCACCCAGCGGGGTGTCATCAGAGGACTCTCTCACTTACAGTTTAGACATGGAAGAAGAAGGTTCTGTAAGTACTAGGTTTTGTTATATGTGCAAAAAAAAAAAAAAGCCTGATAGGCAGTAGCGCTTAAATAAAAGATTAACTCGATATTTTACTGTCAAATAAATTCTGCAACAGATGGCAAGCATTACGTGCGTTCATGAAACAAAGATGAAATTCAAGCTAAAAAAAAAAATTTGATCAATCTGATCTGTTTTTCTTATTTATTGTGGAAAATTAGTGACTGCGTTTGTTCTTATTTTCCCTCCTTTCCAGGGTTATGGTTTCCAGCCACAGTACAATGGAGATGAACTCTCATGCACTTTAAGAAATCTTAGGAGGAGTACATCCTATAAGTTTAGGGTTTGTACTATGTTTTGTTCGTAATTTAATTAAGACTGTATGCTTTTCTGGAATTTTAGCATTTTCATACAGCTAAGACACTTTCAGTGGAGGTAGCAGAAAATTACCCACAGTACTTCTGTCGTTACAATAGTTTTTGATGGAATTGTAATATAAATCAGATCTTTTGCACTAGCTCATTCTGTTTTCTTTTACGTTGTGTCTTTTTTGTTGGGTTTTTTGGTTGTGTTGAGTGGTTTTTTTCATGGAAGAACTTTGTAAATCAGCAGGATGTTACTTGTCGTTACATCAAGCACTTACTATATGTTCCGTTCATTCCTGAAACAGCTCTTTGCCTACAACAGTGAAGGAAAAAGTAGTCCCAGTGAGGTGGTAGAACACAGCACTAATCCTGATAAACCCGGGCCGCCAAGTAAACCAGCTGTAAAGGGCAAGATCCATTCGCACAGCGTGAAAGTTACGTGGGGTAGGTTACCTTTTGTTAACGCTGCACGAGTGCTGCTTGTGTAGGTACAGTCACTCACTAATGCAGGTTAAAACCAGGTGAACTCAGGCTAATTACTTCTCTCTGCAGATATTTTTATTGCAGGATAAATGCTTAGCATTACCAAAAAACTGCAACTTGGTTTGTTTTGGGGCTGTAGTACAAAAGTAATGGGGGTTTTTATTCATTTTAGAGAAGCAGTCGGTGCTATTGTAATAGCCTCTAGATTTACTGTGATGCTTAAATAATTTTCATGTGCTCTTAAAAAAAAATGAGACACTATACCTGAAATTGGCAGCCTTTTACTAGTTGCTCTTCTTCCTGGCATAATTGCGATAAATAATAGAAAAAATCCTGTCGTTCTGGGAAATGTATTGTGACTATATAAGTATGCTGTTTTCTGTTTCTCTTTGAATTGAGTTTTCTACTTGAATATATTGTACAATGAATTAATACGTTCCCTGAAAAAACTGATAACAAAATAATGTATTGTTTTTCAATCTTCTATAATTTATTTGAAGATGTTGATTTCTTTCAGAACCACCCAAAGACAACGGAGGAGCAGACATTTCTAAGTACTTTTTGGAAATCTCGGAAACATCACCTGGTAAGCAATTGTCTTTGAGTGCTAATTCAATGACTGATTCACTGCTCATTGCTCCAGCAATCGCTGTTCTGTTTTCACATGTGTATATTGGGTTGTACGTGTTCTCTGCATAATTGATCGCTCAAATTTAATTCTGTGGCTTGACTATCTTAACTAATAACGGCATGAGAGAATTTTCAAGGTTGATTTTTGCAAAAGATTTTATGTATAAAGCATTCTCTTTCTTTCTCTCCTCAGGAAGTAAATGGGACACCATATACAGCGGCTCCCAGAGAGAACATGTGTGCGATCACCTCAAGCCTGGCACTTCGTACAGAATGAGAGTGTATTGTGTCAGTAAAGGGGGCGAAAGCCAGGTGAGAAAAACGAGAAGAAATTTGCTTCTGAAAAACCATTGCTACTTATGCTCTAGTGAAATGCAGTTTTGTGTTTCCACTCTAAAATAACATGTATTACTGCTAGGCTTCTGATGTTATGACTGTTACGACATCAGCTGTTCCTCCTGGACCGTGTCACGCTCCATGCCTGGCAGGCAAAGCTAAGCCCAAGGAAATCACTTTACAGTGGGGTAAGCTCCAGTGTTTCTGAGCAAAATACTTTTCTGACTTTAAATATCGTAACACAAATGAAAAATCTGAAGAACTCTTTAAGGGGAAAAAAAATAAAAATACATAGATATCGTCAGTGTCCTTAGCTGTTTCTTTAAGACAACCACGGCTTGCTAACCACCTCTGGTTTGGTGCTGCACGCACGATGCGCGTGCAACGATGCAGTGAGACTTTAGCAGATATCAGTGGCTTCCAGTGGGAAAGCTTGGTGACTGCCTCATTGCTGACACGGGTTTGGCAATTTAAAAATCAACCCTCCTGTTCTCATTTTTATCTCAGTAAAGGACATAATCAAAACGTAATGAAGGTACACTGGCTTTTGAAGGAAATAGGTGGAAAATAGCTGAGGAAAAAAAATGGCGAAGGCCATCTTGGTCTAATCAGATCTGGGGGGCAAAAGCAAGCTTCATAAAGTGTTTCTGCTCAGATGTGTGATTAAAGCCTGCATTCTTAACTTGTAGAATTCATCTGATTCAACTTTTAGCTTGAGAAGGCTGATGAGAAACTATTTAAAAGAAAAAGTGCTTTGTAAAATTAATAGGGAAAAAAAAACCCAAAACAACTCTTCTTATTTTGTAGGCCCACCATCGGTAGATGGAGGTTCTGACATCACGGAATATATTGTAGAGATGGCAAACTCTGAACAAGATGAACGCAGACAAGTGTATCAGGGTCTGGCATCTGAATATGTAGTGAACAACCTACTTCCAGGGAGAACGTATTGCTTCTGGATACGAGCAGCAAATAAAGTCGGGGTAACCACTGTGCTAACGAGATCAAAGTTGTTTTGTTTTACCCAAGAGAGAGCAATGATCCTATTTTCTTACAAGCCTGATGTTTTGTAGGTTCTGTGCTCTGTTGAAGGAGCAAAATTTCTTAGAGCAGTAAAAAAAAAAAAATTTAAAGATTTAATAAATTAGGGCTGAAGGAGAAGGACTGAACGTCCTCGACTAAGAGGATGTTCACTGTGTGTTTTGTTTCCGTTGTTTACTGGATGCTGTCAGTCCAAGGTTAGTGCTAGTCGTTCTGTTACTACTTCCAGTCATTTCTCTGACTGCAGTTTGAACCCTGCCTTCCTGGCTGAGAATGACCACTGAATGTTTGTGCCTTAAGAAGTTGCTTTACGTTTTAGTTAGCATAGACTCTGCAGGTTTCTGGTGTGTAGAGGGGGGTGTTCAAATAATGCCAGGTTTGAAAAAGGTTAGAAGTGTCGGTCGTGTGAAAGTCTATCTGAAACGGTACCCAGCTCTTCTGGAAGCCAGGTCCTGACTGCAGGGGAAGGAGGAGTTGCAAAACCATAGCAGTGGGAGGATTACAGATATCCTGTAGGCACAGGGCCAGTTTGGAGAGTAAACTACCTGAAAGGAATTTTAAACGGTGCTGTGAAACTGAGCACTGAACTCTTCTATTTATTTCTCTGTTGAGTTAAAAATAATTTGTTTTCTTCAGCTCATACACTTGCACATCAGTTCTTGCTCTACTGCTGTTGCTGTATTCATGCAATGGTATTTTCTTGCAGCTTGGCCCTCACTCTGAGAAAGCAGAGATCTCTACTGCTCCAGGCCCCCCGGATCAGTGTTGCAAACCCCTGATAACTTGTAAAAGTGCAACGTGTGTTGTTGTTTCATGGGAGGTAGGTTTTAATGATTTTCAGTACTACACTAATTAATATTTGGCTTTTGGATTTTAGTGGCGTGTGCATGATACACAGAAATGGAAGAAACAACATGTTGAGGTAGAATATTTTAAGCACATGTCTTTATAGAGGTATGTGTTGGGTTTGTAAATTTTATCAGCTATGAATTTCCATCTTAACTGTATAAATTGGGTAACACTTAATCCTCCTCATGGTATGATAACTAACATATATTTGGTTCATCCAAGTGGTAAGAGATTGTGAGGCATTCACGGTTCTGGTCCGAACCGTGGTGGTGTTACAGCCATGTGTGCAGACAGAAACCTTTTAACAAGCTGGTCTGAAAATCGTGCCCTTGGCTATGGGGGAAAAGACCTCAGGTTTCACCCTGGTGCTGCTGTTCCACTGTCTGTTCAGTGTAACGAGAGATCACGCTTGTACGGTGAACGTGTGTGTGGGCAGTAGCTGAAAGGGAATTTATCACCCGCAGAGTCCAGCGTGCAACGGTGCGGAAATCAGTGACTACAGGCTGGACTGGGGACAGGCAGAAGGGTCGATGCACATCATTTACACTGGCCCTTGCCAGAGCTACGAAGTGAAAGGTCTCACACCTGCAACCACATATTACTGCAGAGTCCAGGTATGACAAGCCTTTCGTTCTGTGTTACTAAGCAAATGAACAGGAACATACAGCTTGAAGAAAAACTTCAGCTAGAGATAGATAAAGTCACATACTGTCACCTACTAGTGCCATAGAGAAGGTAACTGGTAAAAATGCTTTCCCTTCTCCCCCAGTCTCTCCTAACTACACGTTTCTAGAAATGAAATTTCCACCTAGTGTTGCATTAAATACCAGCCTTTTTGCCGCCTTTACGTTTTATTTGGGAGATTTTCCATTCTCTTCCAAATTGCTTTTAATGACGTGCAAAACGAAGCACGATAGCTGTGACTATCTGGTTGGAAAAACGGAGATTCGGTGAACAGTGCGTGGTCTCTTTCAGGCTGTGAACGTCGCTGGAGTTGGGTTGTTTGGTGAGACCAGTGTGGTGACAACCCCTGCGTCAGTGCCTGCAGCAGTGTCAGTACTGCACTTACTTGAAGAAGACCAAGTGGAAATTTCTGTTCCTTTATCAACGTGCCTTGCAATTCAATGGGAAGAACCATGTTGTCACGGGTCAGAGATCACTGGATATAACATAGAATATGGGGAAAAGCAGCTGATAACTGTTGGAAGAAATACAAGCCATGTTCTTGAGAATCTGCTGCCTGACACTTTGTACAGGTAATGATTAATCACTTTATTCTGAAACCACATTTGTAGGACTTTCAGTCAATAGCTTTGTGGGTAGTGTGTTAAATTTTTGAAGCCATTTTTCGGTCAGTGTACAGACTATTTGCCTAATTTACTCTGCAACTCCGAAAAAATAAAATTGTCATATCCAAAATCTCACCGTGATGCTTTTGCAGCAAGAGTTAAGATTTCTGTGCTAAGATTAACATTCTGTCTCACAGCCAAGGCTTTATTCTAAGCTTTCTGGGTCCAGAATTTTTTATTCGGAAGCAATGTTATGGCATGATCAGTATCTCAGCAGAGGAGGAGGAGTGCAGGAATAGGAGCAGAGCAGCTGTTCCTGTGTTGCGTGCTTGGTCTGGGTTAAAGCTTAGTTCAGATGACAGCTCGTCAGTGGGAGGCCGACGGTTCAGGTGAACGCGGAGGACCTGGGCGCTTGTTCACTGAACAGAATAAACCTGAACAATGCTGAGAAACACTGAAGCTTCATTATGTTGAAAACAATGTAATTATGTTGACTTGTTTTGAAGGAGGCTCTTTTTATAGTTAATTTCTAACTGTATTTTAATTGCTTTATTGTTTGTAGTTATATTTTTTACAAACTTTAACTCTTGCTTTATTACCTAGCATTTTTTTCAGGGCTGCAAGTAAATTAACCATATAGCTGCTTTTCTCGCATTTCTAGAATTAGAATACAGGCCATAAACAGCTTTGGAGTTGGTCCTTTCAGTCATTCCATTAAAGCCAAAACGAAACCACTACCTCCTGACCCTCCTCATCTCGAATGCGTGGTCTTCAGCTACCAGAGCCTTAAACTTAAATGGGGTGAAGGTCCCAGCAGAGCTTTAATTACCAACCCTACCCAATTCAACTTGCAGATGGAGGACAGGTTTGGCAGGTAAGATAATCACAGCGTTAAGGATATTGTTGCTTTACAACTTCCTATCAGGTTTTTAAGACATTTTAAGTGTTCTCACTTCTGTTTGCACTAGTAAGTCATTTGGGCATCCCAAAGGCTGCATTTTGGTATCCCATCTTTCAACCAGAAACGTCGTTAGTACCTGTTGCACTGGTACTTACTTGTAAGCAGTAAATACTACTTTTTAAATACCAATATATTACCACCTTCCTATGTTGGCAGGGTTTTTTTATTTTTTTTGAAATTCAGAAATGAAGTCCAGTTTGCGTATAAGAAACGTGGGGTTGACCACTGTTCTTTAACTTGAAATTGCAACCTATCTAGTCTTTGTATGGGTTATTCTCTTGATTTAAATCGAGAGTCTGGTCACGTAGTTTCGAGAGTTTGATTGTGTAGTTTCAGCGACGGCCTGTGTGTGGCTGTAGCTCAGTGCCTGAACAGGTTGAATGAATGCTTCGGGAGCGTAAATGAAGACTGCCACCAGCGCGAAGGGTGTGTGGTGCTGGTTAACGTATCCTGAGCTGCTGATGACAGTAGCAGAGCTCAAGCTGCCCAACGTTCGTAGTGCATGTCTGCAGAAAGGTGGGGCACCCGGAATGTATTGTCACCTTTTTGTACTTCAGTTAGATATGAAAACATCCCGCTTCAGATACTGACATAAAGTTTGTGATTACTGAATAATGCTAATATGTATATATTTGATGTTTTCTTCCAGGTTTGTTACTGTTTATAATGGTCCTTGTCATACATACAAGGTACAGCGACTCAGTGAATCCACTACATACTATTTTAAAATCCAGGCATATAATGATGCTGGAGAGGGAGAATTTTCTGAAGTTTACGCTTTCACTACAACTAAGTCTCCACCCGCATCTCTTAAAGGTGAGCTTACCCTCCACTAGAAACTTCCGCGGGCCATTTATGTACCAGACTGAATGCTACAACCTGACTCTCTTCCCAGCCCAGTGTCTTTCTGGGGCCTTTGTGGGACAGAGCACAGAAACTAGCTGAGATGGGTTTCATCTGGGAGTAGGAAGGGCTCTGCTGGAATAGGGCCAGCGTGCGGCCATCTCCCACACTGCAGCTCTTCCACCCTTGGCAGCGAGGAAAACTCAACTGGAGTTTCAACTGGAAACTCATTTTTCAGGGTTATATGTCAAGTGATAGAAGTTACAGCAGCATGTAGGCAAATAAAAACACAAATAATTCTTCTGATTTTTGCTTTCTAATATGAACATTAAAGATTTGCATTAGAGACAGTCATTCCGAAGATCAGAATGCTAATTACCTGCAGGAAAATTAGTTGACTCCACCATGTTCAGAGCTGAAACTACATGTTATAGAGATACCTGGGCATACATGCTCTTTTCTCTAGTGATTTGAAAGTCCTTGCTCATCTGTAGAAACCTTAAATGTCAGAAGCTCATCTTGTCAGCTCGAAAAGACAGACAAGTGTAACCTACAAATACTGCAATTTTTTTTTTAAGCTTATGTCATGAAATATAGCAAAGAAAAAGAAAGAATGAAGGAAATATTAATTGCTTAATGACTGTTACCTCCAAGAATGACAGTTACCTCTACATCATTAACAAATACATTGGAAAAACCTTACGCTTTTAGAATTACACTGCCCACTCACTTGCATTCGAACTGAAACGTTTTCAATGGAAAATGTGCAAAAGCACAGCGTACTTCAAGCCAGAGTGAGCAAACTTCCTTGTTGTCACTGAAACCAGTGCCTGTTTGCTACATTAACTGTGAAAATGAATCACTGTAATAATTGGTGATTTTGGCCATTTTCTTCTGATTGAAAAAAATAGAAGAGACCCCATTGTTCTCTTTTTCTAACATGCCAACGAATCACTCTCTTCTAGCACCCAAAGCAAATCAGCTGGAAGAAAACACTTTTGAAATCACATGGGAACCTTTACAGCCGATGAAAGGAGATTCCATTGTTTACATCCTTCAGCTTGCTGCTGGGAGAGAGTTTGATCAGGTACCTTTTAGTTACTGTTATGAACTTGAGAGCTTTTTACTTTGAAAAATTATTGCAAAAAGAGGTGTTTGTGTCTGAAGGTTCAAAGTCTGTTTGGTGATGCTAGTGGCAGAGATACTTCTCATTTTACAGTCCTGGCTCCCAAGGTGCTTCACCCTGCATCTCCATCAGCTCCTCTCAATGAGGCTTTTGGTTTATGAGGGGTGAAGACAACTTCCAGCACAGGGTCCTGCCGCTCTGCCTCTTCGCAGCACTTTGGGGTCACGCAGTTTCAGGCCCCTGTTGACCCTTTGCTTGTACTGTAAAAACAAACGATGGTGCAGGTGGGCTCGAGAGTCGTGGGGAGAGTTACTTACCTAGAAGTGGGTTAACCATGATTCATCCTGTTCTCCCAGCATTTCCCTTGGCTCTTGTGATTCTTAAATCTTATGGTCTGTGACATCGCTGTCCTTGTTACAGACAGCACTTGCCCCGCGTTATATGGAACAGGAATTGTACAGAATGATTATTTATTTTTTTCTGAGTTTCGCAATCCAAGTCTTGTCAGTGTGGGGCGTAGCAGGAAGCTTTGGATTATTCACAAGAAAATAAATCATAAATTCTTCAGAAATAAAAGCTGAGATTTTATTAAGTTGGCTTGAAGAGAATGACCTCAGGCGGTGTCCAGCTCTGCATGCGCTCATAAAGCGGAATAGAAAGTACCGCGTGCTGTTTGTAAGATGAATCTGTGCAGTGGCTCTCTCTTCTTCTGAGTAGGTATACAAGGGACCGGAGACTTCCTTCCGTCTCGCAAGCTTGCAGACAAACTGTGAATATCGGATCAGAGTCTGCGCTGGCCGTCAGTCCCAAGACTCTGCTGGATCACAGGAACTGTATGGACCTTACAGTCCCAGTACAGTGTTCTCATCTCAGAAACAGGAGCTGGTTCCGCAGTGTGCTGATTTGACGACGGAGTTGGCAGAGACTAAGAAGACGTTGCGTGAAGAGCGCTTCATCGCCATCGTTCTTCTCTGCGGATTTGCGGTGGTGGCTATTTTATTTGCTGTTGTTATTCAGTACTTTGTAATCAAGTAGATGAGAGCCTATTCAATACTCAGCTTTTTGTACAGAAGCTATTTCGGGTATTTATGGTTAGTTCTAATTAAAATCCTAGTTGGAAATGTATAGTTACATGCATTTCCACTTTTGCTGCTGGCTAACAGTGAGGCTGGGTTGGCAGGTCCTTTCCAAATACTGAACATAGATTTCTTGTAGAAAGGGTAATCCTGGGTCCTCTGTAATCAGGGTTAGCTGTTGATAAAACAGCAAAAAACCGCCTTATCGTGCACACCGATGCGTGTGTGCGCACTCTTCCTCTCTCCGAACTGAAAGCGGGGCCCGACGGCCAGTTAGAGAGGGAAGGCATCGATAGAGCAAGTCCTTTTCAAGTACAACTAGAGCAGTGGTAGTCGAGCCGCAGTGTTTAATCAGGTATTGTTGTAGTTTGGTATACACGAAATACAGCAGCACAAATGCTTAAGCTTAGAGCAGTACTGTATTGCAGAACGTTACTAGAGCATACCACATGTAATCTGCTGTAGAAGGAACGCAGAATATTGACTTTGACTTAGCGATATTACTACTTTACAGTTATTTTAATATTTTGGATTCAGTAATAATCATTTCAAGTGTTAAAGTAGAGGGTGCCGGCATTTTTTTTAGAATTTTTAATCCAAATGCTAGACCAAACGTTAGCAGGACGTAACGTACACGCAGCGAAGGCGTTCGTATGTACCATTGTAGAAAAGGCCCCTTAAGTATTGTACATTTCGGAATGAAATGCTTTCTGCTGTTGGTGAGCAGCTGTTGGCCCAATCCACATTTCACTCTCAGTGCCTGAGAGAAAAGTAATTTCCTGTGCTTCTGATTAAATCTTTGCAGTGTTTTCAGAAAAGCACAGGTATTGTCTTTAAGGAGAAAGAGTGCATTTATGATAAATGTTACACTATTTGGCTCAAACTGAGCAAATGTTTTTGTACTATTATTAACCTAAAAATAAAAAGTTCAGACTGCTTTTGGATGCCCTTCTAACTTAATCTGAATTATCAAATTGTACGTGAAAGAACTCTTTTTAAATAACATTTATACAATGTTTTAAATGACTTGCTATCCCAGTGGTAGCAGCTTCACATTCCATTGTTTTCTAGATGGGAATGTTCAGCCTGCTATGAACTTTTCTGAAACTAGTCCTGTTTGTCTGGGGGTTTTTTGGTTTGTGGTTTTTTTTTTGGACACTGTGCACTACATATGACTGTTCTTGTTAAATCTGCTTGCAAATCCCTAAAGATGAGTCTGACAGCTGTCTTCTTCATATTGAATATCTCGAAAGCTGGAACTCAGAAATTTCGAACATGTTTCAGAGCGGGTCTTCCCGAGAGCATTTGGAATATGGCACAGAAAGGTGGATTTAGCGAGTTTTGCAAAGACTGCGGCTACACTTTATATACATCAGAGCAATGCACTTGTACGTGGAATGTTGGATGTGATAGTGCTACAGGCGAAGTATTTCCAGTAATCAATCACTTTAGGGTCTTTCTCCTATGGCAGTTGATGAATAATGTTGCGTTATAGTTTGAGGCATTGTGTTGTATTTCAGATGTGGAAAACCTAAATTATGACATAGTATCACTTAATACTCTTAAAAGTAGATTTATGGTGCAATCTGAAATTAATCTTTTCAAAATGTACTCTTCATTTTGTACTCTATTTATTTTGATTAAAAGTCCTGGAAAATGTATGTTTGAATGTATTGTTCTACTTGTAGCAGAACTTTAAGTTAATCATTTATTATATCATAGAAATCTCTCCCTCCAGTGTTGGAAAGAGTTTTATACAGATATTAGTCTCTAGTTTGCAGAAGAGTTTACAATCTGTCTTTATTTCTCGTCGTAGTCTACTTTTAGCAAATAAGACTGCCTTCAGCAAATCTCTGTTGCCAAAGGGTTATTTCTTTAACTCTTAGAACGAAGTTTGTAGAGGTTTATTTGGCGATAATACTTCTGATAATTTTAAAAGATAAATTAGGATTGCAGAGTAAATACTAACAAGTCGTGACTCCTAAAAAGTGAATGAAAGTCCTTTTGTAATTGCCACAAAATATTTGTGTTTCCAGAAAATACCCGGGAAAGCCTACCGTCAGACGGATTTTATATCAGCTGTTATCCATTCCAGAACGATATACCCTCGTGGCATTAATGTATTAGGTATCTTCAATTTTCTTGTATTGTAATTTTGAGGTATCTCAAACTTATGTTAAAGCTGCCATGCATTGTATTACTAAATTGTAACTATCAAATAGATAATATATTTAATACAGCCAATAAATAATACAAATGTATTCAAATTTGACTACAGCATTGTTGTGTGGGGTTTTTTGTGGATTTTAATTACACTCAGGAGCAGGCATTTGTGTAGCACAGCATTTACGCTGATGAAACATGCTGAGTGTTGTTGCTACATGTCATTAAGAGTTGTGTCAGGCCGGGGCCCAAGCAGTGCCACTTCTGGAACCCTTTAACACGTGGGGTGGTGGAACAGCCCCTGAACTGGCCATCTGCGCTGCATGTTCACTGGTTTTACAAACGAGGGAGATGGGCAAAGGCTGTCCGCTCCCGCTTCTCTCCCCGGCTGTCACCCACACGTGTCGTTTGTCCTGGTCCATTCAGGTGAGCTCCAAAGGCAAGGAATGGCTTCTCCTCAGAGACGGGGTCTGACTTTGCGGAGAGCTGGGTATAGGTTGTACAAAGAATGAGACAAAAGCCTGAAAATGAGGGAAGCAACCCAAGAGATGTGAGGGGGGGAGCAATAACCCTGTAGGAAGAAGGCAATGTGTTCATAGTCCCGCTAGATGAGGAATTTCTTACCGCTTTTCTTTCAAATTCCTTACAGATTGTATTTCTTATGCTTATTTGCTGAGAGCCAACAGCTGGCCTGGCTTTAACCTCCACTTTCTCTCCCTTGGCTTCTGTGGGAGGAAAGTAACTTGCATTGTGTTTCACAGGTCTGTGATTAACAAAATGTCCGGTCTTCAAAAACAGAGACAAATCCCTCTGCAGGAGCATTGTGGCCAGTTAAACCTGAAAAGTGGCTGGTAAATTCACTGAAAAGCCCAGCCCCTTTGCACCTGCCCCATGTGCAGGAATAATGTGAACCAACTCCAACCTTCCTAAAATGTTCCAAGCCTACCACAGCAAACACTAAGTAGCCAAAAACACAGCCATAAAACTTGTTCCAGTCTCCATGTGCCTCATCTACCTGGGTTTTAACCCACAACACTGCTGGCAAAATGCTTGAGTTCGGAGAATTAAGTCAATGCTGAAGAGTTGAGCTGACAGAGCAGAGTTCTGTACCTTCAAAAAAACCCTTTTCACTCCTGGCCAGGCTCCTGCAGCGCCGCGTTTGCTTGTGGTGCAGGATTTTGCTCATCGCTTTCCTGTATTTGTGTGACATGACGTTGTAAAGTATGGGGTTTATAGAAGCCCCAAGGTAGAAGAGAAGCATGGCAATGAGGTTGAAGTACTGCGTGAGGTCATACAAGATGATTTCACTCTGGGCAAAGAGGATTCGGCCGACATGGAATGGGAGCCAACACAGCACAAAGGCCAAGACTACGACGGCTAGAGAGGAAGAGAGCACGTTTCAGTCATCTTGAGCGCGGTTTATTCTGCCTCTCTAAACTATTTAAGGACCGAGACATGAGCTTGCCAAGTTTAACCCAGCAAAGATAAGACCTCCTGCCTTGCCCAGCTACTTTTGTGCTATGGTTACTGGTAATCTCAAGCAACAAGGATTTAAGGTTGCACACAAAATTAGTTGTTTGCAATTAAAAATAGGGCTCTATACCCATGTTGTCCAGTGGAGATAAAGGAATCAGATCAGGCTGGGGCAAAGCCTGCTCTTGTCCTGAAAATCTGAGTGGCCATTGGCGTCCTGCAATGGGTTTCAGAGGGGCAGGAGGGATGTGGGGGGCCCCTCTGGGCAGTGGAGGGGCAGAAAAAGGGAGCAGACTGGACCAGCAGGCACTGAGGAAGAGGATGGGAAAACAGAGCACATAAACCAAAACAAAGCAAATAGAACCTGGCAGGAAACAGCCGGTGGATGGCTGCCGTACATTTTAATGAAGGTATCTCCAGTCGTGGGTGCTGCTGCTTCCCTGGGGACAAGGATTTTGGGGGAGGTGGGCTCCGGAGGGAGCGGTCAGAGGGATGGGAAGGAGGGGAGGAGACCGAGCCCCTCCTGGTTTCAGTGTCTGCACAAGGCAGAGGAACCAGCCAGCACAGGGTAAAGATCATGTTCAAGAAAGCTCAGACCCGTGGGCTGTTGCCATCCTGGACAAAGCCGTAATCACTGAGCTTGAGACATTTTACAGGGGAAATGGCTTTAAAACCTTTCCTTGCCACAGCAGGGGAAGTGCCTGGTCTGGTCTTAAGTCACAGAATTTTCCAATTTCTTTAATTTAATCCCGCAAGGTCAGAAATGGGGGAGGACATGAGGTATGTGATCTCAAAACAGCCAAAAGCCACACTGCTCTGCTTCCCCACCATGCAGTTGGGGACTCCCCTTCTTACCGGAGCAAGCCAGGAACACAAATTAAGTGTAAATCCACTGATTTTAAATCTGGATAACTCTGTGCATTTTGTCTCTACTCCCCACCATCCCCTGCATTTCTGTACACGTCGTGGGAGTGATTAAAGAGGGCAGCTCTTCAGGTTGGGTTTCTAAACCACTCTTACCCAGCATTTTGACAGTCTGCGTGTGGGACCTTTTCCTGGCCGCAGCCTGGCGGCCCGACAGCTGCTGCCCGCTCCTCCAGAGCTTCCTGCAGATGAGTCCGTACAGCAGAGTCAAGCAGAGCATTGGCAGAAAGAAATAAATGGTGGAGACCCAGGTCATTGTCTCGAGCAGCCCCGTGCGGGCCATGCGCTCGATGGACCTGCACTCCCAGCTCTCCTGGGGCAGGCTGCCGTTACGGTGTTCCACCCCGAAGAGGAAGAGGATGGGGCCGGCGGTCAGGAGAGAGAAGCCCCACAGCACCAGGATGACCCATTTCACCCGGCACTTGGTGATGGTCGCTTTGGCTTTCAGGGGAAAGCAGATGGCAAAGTACCTTTCCACGCTCACCGTGGTAATGTGCAGGATGGTGCAGTACGTGCACGTTTCGCTCAGGTAAATGAAGAACTTGCAGAGAAAATCCCCAAATATGTAGGGCTTGTACTTCCAAAGGCGATAGAGGTCCGAAGGCAGGCCAAGGAAAATCAGCATGTCTGACAGCGCCATGCTGGACAGGTACATGCTCACTGTCGTCCTCATCTCCTGCGAGCGTCTGAAAATTACTATCGTTATCAAATTCCCAGAGACTCCCAAGAAAAACAGGACAATGGAAATTATAGTCACAGGCACCAAAATGCGGACGTCAAACAAAGAAAAAGACTGATCTTCAGAGGAGTCCGGGTCATTTCCAAAATAGCTGTGATTCGAGACGGAGCCCATGTCTGGTTTCAAAGCTGAGGGCAGGGCTTGCTTCGCCTTCCCCTTTGACGGAAATCTGAGTCACGGTGAGAGAGGGGCATGTTTCGAAGCGAGTGTCCAAGCACCGATCATCTGTGCAATGACTCTGACATGATCAGTTAAAAAATCAAAATGATGTTGATAACCATTTAGCTGATGAAGATAAATACCCAAGTGCCAATTAGTCCATTTTATGAGAAGCAAAGGCGTATTAGATTCACACATCCACCATCTGCCCGACACAACCTTTTAAAAACAATATTGACCAGTATAAAATTATTTACCATGCTGATATTTACCCTTAGCTTCACAGTGTTTGGAAAAGGGCCGCTTTTTACATTTCCCTTCAAGTCCTGTGAATCCCAGTAGGAGCAGAGAGCTGGGCCTGGCGGCGGGGCTCCAGATCGATTGTGGAGGAGCTGCAAGGAGAAGCAGTCCCCCTGATGGGAGACGGATGGAAAGGGCCTCTGGGCTGCACTGCGTGGTTTGCCAGATCCTTCCAGCGCTTGTGAGTGCCACGAGTGGAAATCTTTAGGCTGAGAAGTTTCCCTGAGGTTCTGCCGAGGAGCAGGGAGGCTCGCAGGCTGTCACTGCGCCTGGCAGACACGGGCTGCTTCACCTGCGGGATGGCTTTCCTGCTGCCGGTGACGATGACGCTGGTTGTGCCAGGAGGTCCCTGGGGTGCCGGAGTTCCCCAGCACGCGGCACAATTTCTGAGGAAATTGGCTGGGGCCACTTGACTTTCTGGGGCCGTTTCCCGTGCTGCCCGTTCTGCGGTCATCCATCTTCCTCCACCTACACACTGCTAATGATGCTGCACTAAATACGAATGCCCACTCCGCTTTTCTCCTCAGCCTGCAAAAAGTGCCTGCAGTTACCAGGTAGGGTAGAACAGTTCTTTGATAGCGGATATTTAATTAGCCCATTTGGGCCAGCTACATAATTTTCCATCGTTCTGTATTTACTTAGGGCCTCTTCCACTTGAGCTCCTCCCCAGCATATGCCGCCGAGTGAGAAATTTCTACTGACAGTGCTTTAATGACATTATTAAGATAGAATGGGAAAGCCTTTATTTGAACATCAGTCTTCAAAATGAGACAGTCTGACACTTAGCCCTGATTTACTTTCCACTTCAGAAAAGATCAGAGATGACGAGCTGGAAAGCACCAGGGCGGGGGAGACGAGGGGAAAAGGGGCCAGCGCGAGGGAAAACGCAAGGGAAGGCTCTGGGAAGCTGGAGGTTAACTGCATGCTGCCGGAGAGAGCGGGGACACTCGGCGCTGGAAAGGCTGCGTGCGCTGCTCGGCTCAACAGCCATGGTGCTCAGAAATTCCTCCAGAACCTGGGAACTGGGGCGCTGGCAGAAGTGAGCATGGTACCCAGTATAAAATAAACCTCCTCCATTCTCCTCAGAGCTCTGCTCTTTGCAATTTTTTCTTGTCAATTCAAAAGCCAGCACTTTGTAGAGCCAAATAGTGTGGGATTTGGGCTCGAAAGGTCAGCACTGAACACAGTCACCGCGTTGTGTGGACAGAGCCTGGGTTCTAACGTTAGGGAGAGTTCCGCTGCGGTTTCCAAGAGGCAGAAGCGCTGGCTGTGGGGTGTTTTTCAAGAGACTGAGGCACCTGAACACCTCCAAAGAAAGAAAAGCAGTCTGTGTGCCAAGGCTTTATTTTGCTGCACCTTGAACACCTCAACAAAACCCAACTAAAAAAAAAAAAAAATCCCAATGCTTAACTCTGCACTGGTGATTTAAGTGGTGCACCCTGAGTGGAGCTAAGCCCTGGCTGGCGCAAGCTCGCAAGGGCTGAACAGTGTGCGGCTGTCATCCCTATTTCTTCGAGAAGATCTCTTCCAGCTGGGAGACAGTTGCCTTTGATGAACGTCCCCGGTTCAGTGGTGGCTGACGGAGGAGTCAGCGCTCAGCCTGGCCACACCGTGACCCAGTTTCCTGTTTTTTCAATGCTGAAAGAAACCCCAGTGTCTGAGCGAAGCTGAAGGGCGACTGCTCTTTCCTTCGGCCGGCGCGCGGTGCCCGCAGCCAGCTGAACGCAGGCATTCACAGCACAGCCGTGCCCCAGAGGACCAGCGGTGAAGAGGAAGCTTTCATGGCCAGGCAGAGCCGCTCCCACTCAGCTGCCCGCACGGAAGGCATTTGTGGCCTCGGGGACAAATACCCTGTGGAAACCGGCTCTCCTTGTCTTCTCCTCACTGCTGGTTTCCAGGCAGAAACGCTGCAAGTACGGGCAGCTCTTGGTCGTGCTGCTCAGGCTGGAGAGTCACCTCTGTGCAGCAGGGTTGGTGGGGAAGGCAGGCGCAGCATGGAGAGGAGATCTGGGGGAGAGGGCAGAAGGGTCTTTTTCTGCTTTTGGGGGGGTAAACCCAGAGCCCTTTGGCAGTACAAAGTTTGTTTCT